AGTTGAATTCATAAGCAATAAAATGCACTGTTTAGTTCAATACCTGCAGCAGTTTTGGATCTACAGCCTCAGTTGGTCTGGTACCAGTAGCTGAGGTGGCTAATGTTAGCAAACTGCTCATACTTCTAATGACTCACTACATTTTAGCATTCATTAATGCTAAAGATTCGCACAGTTTTTTATCGATCGGTTGTGTTGTCTTGCAGGTACAACATCACATCTAAAGACACATTCTTTGACAACGCCACAAGGGGCCGAATAGTAAGTGTTCATTCACACTGAATCTGTTTTTCCTTCATGCGGTGTGTTTTAGGATTAGCTTGTATATCCAGTCTAATATTCTTACATCTTTTGTAGGTATATGAGATCCTGAGACGGACGGTGTGTGTACGAACCTGTCAATCCATAGGTGAGGTTAAAGAACAGTTCAAAGGTGTGAACCGTGTGTGTCTGGGAGGAGTTTACTAAACACATGCAGCCCTTTCAAACCCTGTACATTCTTAATGTTGACATGTAAACTTTGACTTGGTCAGTAATTAAATCAATGACATTAGGTGGACCCATTTGAGATCTAATGTTGCTGCAGGCATAAGCATCTGAGGAATGTCGGTCAGTGTTGTCCCTTGTTAAAAATGGTGCACAAAATAATCAATGATTTTATCCACCTCTGTTGGCAAGAAACAGGATCTGCTTACCTCTCCCATCCCTTTGAAGTATGACGGCCTGTAATTGATTAAAAACAGGCTAATTTTGGAGGTGACTCACTAAAAACAGCAGAGGTCCAAGAAGAATCTAGCAAAGAGGTCATGAATCACAAAACTGGGATAAAACCCAGATGCATAAAACTCTGTGTGGATTCATGATTCAAAGACAGAAATATGTAGATTAGGTTAGATTAGGTTTTATAAATCTCAATCGTTTTCCAGTCCCACAATTATCCATAAATGGACGTAGAAAGGCCCTTGGAAAACCTGTTTGCATATAAATACCTGTGCCCTCTCTACTTCTCATAAGAGCTGTCAACAAGAAGAAATACAAAGAAGAAAAAGTAGAACTTTTTTAAGTGGCTGTGGCTATAGCACCCGTACCATGAATTCATAACAGGCCCCTGTAAATCATCATTGTGGGGATATTTCATTCATCATTATTAAACATCAGAAGGGATGATAAATGATTAATAGGCTACAGCTTATATCGAAACAGTCTTTGCAGAGTACTTCACAGTTCAAGATCAAATAAAAACATTATTGACAGGGAAATTATGATGTGGCAGTTGCTTGTTTTGGCTTAATAAAAAGTCTTTATGAGCCTTTGTTGTGGATATCTTGTGATACCAATCACTGGTTCATACTTAAACACCATCCTCATCAGCTCAAAAGCCGCTCAAACGGCCAGTCAGTATGAAGTGTAGTATTGAAATTTTGATTTAGAATTTTTTATTCTCCAAGAGCATGTATAGCCTGGGAAATTAAAATCCCAGCAACAGGCTGGGTAATAGTCCCCGAGAATGAACAACATCTCGATCAACCCCCAGGAGACATAGGTTATTTCCTGTTGTGGGACAGAAAAAAAGCACGCATATTGTCCCTTTAAGGTTGAGATTAAATAGGAAAAGCAGGTGCAGTGGAACACTTGTGTAACATCTTAGTGTGTGACACTGCAGGGTAAAGCCAGCTGTCAGTTGCATTTCGAGGTTGTGCTGAAACTCTCAAATCTGACCGGACTGTGTTTGGTAGACTACAGGTGAAGTGGGAGGTGATATTGATATGCCCGCTGGGAGTTCAATGGGGAGGTGAAGTGAGGTGGAGTGCGGCTGACACAAAGAAGGGGAGCAATGATTGGATAATTGGATGAGACAGACACCTTTTTAACCCTAATTTGTTTGGGCATTCGTTTGGGGCTCTGTAGCAACGCCCTGCTCATCAGCGGGCTGTTCCTAGGAGGTGGCTTTGCTCATTAACACTTACTTCTATGCAGATGTCCGCTGGGACGATTGGCAATTAAAAGTCTGAGCTCACCTCAGCAGCGGTGTCAGTTGTTTATCAGTTGTGTGGGCAAGTCTATTGAGACGGCGCAGCTACATAAAACGACAAATATGTAAGACACGCCACAAATGATTCAATATGACTTGAAAAATGGGTCCATCACTGTGTATGTGACAAATAAATCATTCAGATTAACATGGGCCTTTCATATCTGTAGATTTAAAAGATAGGCAGATAACAGCTGCCTATCGGTATAGAAATGAGCTGACACCCGTTTCCAGTGTTCCACCATATGTCTCCTTGGCTTCCCCATCACAGCAGAAGGTCTCAGCCAGCGGGTACTGATGGAGCTGCAGGGGAGGAAGGGGAGAGAAAATAGAGTTGCATCTCTTTAACCTCTATTTTCTCTTTCCTCTTCATCACTGGTGTATATATTTTATCTCACACACACAGACACGCACACAGAGCCTGCTCCATGTGTCTCTGCCGACCTCTTCCTCTTCTCCTCTACAAGTGGGTCATACTTCCTGGGTCAGGCTGAGATTGTAGCCGGGGCCTCTGGGAGTTGTGGTTGTTTCTAGCCAGTAGCCGGTAAAGTGAGCATTCCCCGCATTTGTCTGTGTGCAAGTTGCGAGTTTCATTAATAGCACAGCTAATCTCTGCATAGTTCCCAGTCCCAGGCACGATAATTAGTTGAATAATTACTTTGAGCCAGTTTGGTGTGCCAGGTCATCTGACGTGTCCGTGTCGGCCATGACATTCACAGGTCAGGACTTCACTTCTCGACTAAAAGTGTTACCTACGTAAACCAATCCAAGTCTGCCTGGCACTGAAAAACGGAATTGAAACGGTGCAGGCTGCAGGGGGAGGCCTGATGTCAGATACAGCTAGTGTGCAGTTAGCTTTAATACATGGTGGGTGAATTTTAGTGTCTATGGCCAGTGGGATTAGGGGAATAAAAGGCTTCAGTTTTTGGAAGTTTGGAGCTGAGGTTGCGTTATATATTTTGACATATGGGGTCGTAAAGATACTGTCATAATCTATTATTACTGGTCATTTTAATTAGCTTTTTTTATGATAATGAGAACTTTAATACCCTAACTTTAAAAAACTCTCTAATCCTTTTTGACCTCCTTGCTGCCATTTGCTTTCCCCCGTAACATTAGCTGCTGCTGATAAACATGATTCCTTCCCTCTTTTTTCACCTCATTTATCAACCCCATCACAATCTTTGGGCTGTCTGAAGAAACTTCGGACACTCTGCTGCTGCTGTGAAATTGTGCAATAGCTTGGCTATGTAGCCTACTAATGTGAATGTAAAGCCAGCTAGAGAACAAGCTCCTGCATGTGCAACAAAAACAAGACTGCTAGACAACATCCAATTCTTGTTAATTACTAACGGAAAATATTGTCGCCCCTGGTTGGAAGCACAATGTCAGTGACACCGATAAAGTCCGAGTTCACAACCACTCCAAGTGTCCTTAAACACGAAGTTGAATCTGAACTTGTGAGAAGATGAATTTCATCTTCAGTAATCAATAATATATCAAAAGGACACAGCAGTGTGCAGCACTAGATGTAAGATAAATAACAGAAGGTGCTCTTTTAAAATGGCTACCACTTTATTTCACGGCACATCTTGGAGCCATTTGGTGTAAACTCACTCATTAATGCCAGTGACTCAACTATTACTTCACCAGCTGCTTGAATTTCTGGTTTAAAAGTAAATCTACAGCCCAAACTATTGAGAGGAGAAAAACTCCCATTTCACCAAAAGACAAAGGTTACAATATCAGAATGTCTCTGCAATGTGGATGCAGCCGTGATTTACATAGAAGGTACATGAGGGTTTCAGTGATGATTTGGATGACAGGGCAAGAGGAAAAAAAAACCTCAGCGTGACATTCAAATACCCTTTGGGGTTCTCTCTAATGTCTCCCTCCCTCTCTCTGTCTTTTCCAGGCATCAGCACGATGATAGCTAAAGGCGTGTATGACTCGGCCTTCCCTCTCCATGATGTAAGTGTGAGGTTTAGAATTCTCACCGGGTGCCACTTGGTTTTAATTTATTTCACACTACAATATTCAATTTGCAGAGAATGGAAACTTATCTGTGTGGTCAAAGATAAAAATGGAAGTAAAGACCAAATTCTAATTTTCAGCAGCTGACACTAATAATCCCCCCCAAAAAAAGCTGTATAGACGCACACTGGAAGCACAAACAAGGGAGGGTTCTCAGAAAAATCCCTGCTCTCAACTTAATTCAATTAATGCGATATTGATGAGATATCGAAGCAAGTTTTAAGTCACTGCAGGTTGATTTTTGACTGAAATAAACTATATAACATTTTCTATGAAGGTCATGTAAGATATAGCATTTTATAATGCTTTATAAAACTATAAATATTTATGATCACGCATGACAACTAACGGTATAACAAGGTTTATAAAGTAGTATAAGTTTAAAGTTTAACATTCCTAATGCTTCATACCTCCATGCCAAAGCTACATAACTATTTGCAACCTATGCTTAGTATCATATAACTTTACACAATGCGGTCACTTTATACTTAGCTTACATAGCTTACAAAGTCCTGCTATAGCAAATTATTGATGTCCTGGGTCACACAGAAAATGATAACCACCATAACTTTAGCCGGTTATAAAGACACACAGAGAACTGCTCTAAAGTGTCATAACTTATTATAAATTAAAAAAAAATAATACTATCTTACAAACATCAATAAAATGGACTTTGTAAGCTTAAACCAAAATGACAGCACTGTATAAAGTTATTAACAATTGTATGATATTATAACAGCAAAGATTGCCAGTAGGTACGTAGCTTTGGTATGGAGGTACAAAGCATTATGAATGCTACGTAAAATACATTATATCCACCACTTATAATACTTTATAAACAAGTTTTATACATCCATATACATACATTGTAATGTCGTATGAATGTGCTTATAATGCATTATAGACATGATCTTCACAGAAAGTGTTACCATAAACTTCTAGCAATCCTAAAAGCTAAATGTGTGTAGTGTAGGAAGTTTTTCCTTGTTGCTGTCGCCAAGTGCTTGCACATGGTGGGAACTGTTGGGTCTCTGTAAATACTTTTATAAGGAGTACGGTCTAGACCTGCTCTATTTGAAAAGTGTCCTGAGATAACTTCTTTAATCAATTCTCGCTCCTCAGGGGCGCGTGACCTATAAGCGTCACTGGACACCTTGAAGGAAGAGTCGAGACAGGTAGCCCTCAACACTCGCTCTCAATCCCCTCTCCTTCTTCCTCTTCCTCCAACGTGTCTGTCTACAAGATAATACTACAAAATGTTTCACCTTACCTATACGACTGGTAGCCACCTGCTCTGAAAGAAAAAAAAAAAAAAAAAAAAAAAAAAAACACAACAACAAAAAAAACAAAAAAAAAAAAAAAAAAAAAAAAAAAAAAAAAAAAAAAAAGAAAAACAAAAAAAAACAAAACAAAAAAAAAAAAAAAAAAAAAAAAAAAAAAAAAAGAAAAACAAAAGAAAAAAACCAAAACAAAAAAAAAAAAAAAAAAAAAAAAAAGAAAAAAAAAAAAAAAAAAATAGCACTGCAGAATGTGGTACAGGTGCTGACGGTCCTGCTCATCTGAAAGTCCTGAAAGCCTGGAGAGCCCTTAGGGCAACCTGAAACTTTCTCTAAACCAATGGTTTCATCTGTGTCTTTTTCTTCCTTTTTTCATTTCTGAGCTTGTTATTACATCTCTTCCATTCTGTCCAACCAACTGTCACACGAGTGGAGTTTAAGTTGAATAAACATCTCTTCCAACGGCACGAAGCCTGTGCTCAGGAAAAACCAATTTCCACCACTGCGACTGCTGAATCTTCAAAGGAACGGAGCCAAAACAGACTGAACTGTCTCGTTTTTGGAGAAGTCAGGTTACTAAGTAAAAAAACAACAGCAGACAATGACACTCCTGGTCAAGAAGTGAAATAAGAATAATGCTTGCATCAATCAACTGGTCATAGGCAGATCGTGTTTTACTTTTAACCAGTCCTCACTTGTGCTGAGATAATATTCTTTTCTCATCTTCCCTCCTCCCTTTATCGTCTTTCCCCCTCGCTTTAGGGATAACTGTTGCTCAACTGCAGCTCTTTGGCTGTCATCCCCACTGAGGGTTTGACTCCAACCAGATCAAATGTATTCATCCTGCCTATCCCAGCATCACGCTCTGAGGGC